AAAAAAAAAAAAAAAAAGAAGCAGTCAGTACCCACACTAGGTCTGGCATTACCTCAGTGTGCCCATACGGTCTCCTGAAGCTAGGTGCTGTCCATTGGGGCTGATACACACAGAGCGGATGCCCACACGTGGATCCACCAGGGACCCATCAACCTTGTCTCCTCCAGGCAGTTCAGTGTCCAGCAGGGCCTGAGTGTTCCCATCCACATAGATGATCTTAATGAGGTCCTAGTGGAACAGGTCAGAGGGGGCAGGTGAGGCAGGCCTGACCTAGTATACCTGCAAGAGAGAAAGCTGGACAAGATAAACCCTTGGTTCATAGAACCCAGACGAGTCAGGATGGGAAGATCAAGGTCTGGGCACCTGCTTCATGAGAACAAGGTACAAAAGCTGTGGGGATGGGGGTACTAAGGGTGAAGTGGTGGCCTTCAGGCCTCAGGGCTCACATTGCTGAGGATGTTTCGGTGCAGGGTAGAGCCATGCACACCAGAGCTTTCAGTGTTCCACAGGCGGATGGTGTTGTCTGAGGAACAGGTAATAAAGGAACTGGGGGGCAGGCAGGCCTGGTTACTGTCCTTTACCTCAGGGTAGACCTGAAAGGGCAGAAGGAACAGAGTTAGACTTCTTTTTAGAGAGCAATCCTTTGCCTGGCCAAGGAGATAGAAGGGAATGGAACAAAAGAGAGTATGCTGGTCAAGACGTAGCCCAAATCCCATTGTGTAATAAGCAGCCAGAACTATTAGACATTCCTAATAAGTGCTAAGGGAAAGCACATCAACCAAGCAGCTATTATGTATGAGGCACTCTTCCATGACTCCCACTTACATTATTTAATTTTACTCATAGAACAATCAGATGAATTGGGTACATCATTTTAAGGAGATGAGACTTGGGCAAATTCAGGAATGTATCTAAGATCACTGAGCCAGGATAAGGCAAAACTAACAATGGATAGGGGTACACTGGAAGAAGCCTGAGATGTATAAGCACTAAAATTTAAGTTCAATCCCCAGCACCCATTAAAGGGGTGTCAGTGGAGAAACAGGGAGGCAGCAAAAACATAAGGTTACGCTTGGGGATCCCTACTTTTTGTCCTCACAATAGTATCCCAGCCAACATGGTCAGTATCCAGCCAACCAGCCCAGCCTGCATACCTCCACACTCCAGACGCAGGAGGAATGATACAGAGCCGAGTACACTTTGCCCACTTTCTTGGGGTCTCTCACGTCCCAAACATAAATGCTGTGGTCGTTATACACACAAGACAGCCACTGATTAGTAGGATCAAAGGTCAAAGCAATGGTGTCTGGATACCTGGCGTTGGCTACTCCAGAGAAGAGGCGACTGTAGAGGGAGAAGACAGAGCAAACTGGTAAGACTGAAGGGAATAAAAAGAGAGGCCAACCCACAAAGAAAGGAGCAGAACATGGGAGCCCTCTCCAGACCTGCAGGTTTGGAAGCACTAGCCTGAGAAAGAAAAAAAGAAGCCCCTAATGGCCATCAGCTGGGAGCTGACCCAGTTAGCAGTTGCACCATGGTGTTCTCCTGATGGACAAAATTTCACAGAATACCAATGTCAGACAAGGTGGGTCTATGGCTGTGACGGGGGAAAAAAACAAAAAACAGGACCCCTTTGTGCACAGAGAAAAACGAAATCTGTACAAACTACAAAAATGACTGAACATCACCCTTTCTCATCTACATGATTGATGGCTGCTTCTTTTTTTTTTTTTTAGAGAGACAGAGTCTCACTTTGTCGCCCTCAGTAGAGTGTTGTGATGTCACAGCTCACAGCAACCTCCAGCTCTTGGGCTTAAGCGATTCTCTTGCCTCAGCCTCCAAGTAGTTGGGACTACAGGCGCCTGCCACAATACTTGGCTATTTTTTTGTTGCAGTTTGGCCAGGGCAGGGTTCAAACCCACCACCCTCAGTATATGGGGCCAGTGCCCTACTCACTGAGCCACAGGCACCACCCTGATGGCTGCTTCTTTACCAATTACAGCTTTACCTTAGATATAAAAATTATCAAGATCTTTAATTGTAGAACTGCACCAGCTTCTTGACAGTATCCAACCACACCAATACTTCAATCCCTTGAACCATTCCTAAAATCAGCTAATACAAGCCCAAGTCCTATAATAAGCCCCTCCTAACACCCACTTATTGAGACTTTCCACAGTTCTCCACGATGTATAATCCCTCTGGTTGCAATAAGTACCAATAAACCCAAATTTGTTTGTCTCAGAGGTGTTCCTGGTAATCTCTGGGGCATCAACGTACTCTTTACTTTGTTCCCTAAAGGCTAGACACAGGGTAAGGCTCTGGATGGATGAAGGGTGCCCATGTAACTCACCTGGCTTCAGTGATGCTGGCAATGTCTGTCCCTAGGGCATGGGGTCGGGGCAGAGTGCTAAGGAAGTGCAGATTAGAGGGGTTGAAAAGGCGCACGGTGCCATCAGCACAGCCACAGAAGATATAATCTTGGCTCACAGAGATGCAGTGGGCCACTGTAGTCTGTGGGCAGAGTGGCTCGGGTCAGCATAGGACACCTGCCCACTTAGTTTTCTCTCCTCCTCCCCAACTTCTCATCAAACCACCTGCCAAGAGGAGAGACCGGCCAAGGCAAGGGCAAGGGCAAAACAGCCCAGCTGCTCTATTCTGAGCCCCTGAGCTGTCATCTAGAGATGTCCCTCCCTCCAAAAGCGGATGGCCAGAAGGCCCGCAGCCCTATGCAGTTGGGGGTTGGGAATAAGAAATTCTTCTAAGGCATCAAAGGATTCAGAAAAGAGAATAAAGTAGGAAAAGCCCAGCAGAGAGAAAGAAATAGGATGAGAGAGAGAGGAAGGTGTAGGCACCACTTACTGTGAAGCTGTCTGTGTTCTGAGCAGAAGAGGAAAGCAGGGAAAGAGAGACAGAAAAAGAGCAGAGAGGGGGCAGTTATACAAACCACCAGGGGCTGGAACTGGGCCAAGTTCTAGCTCTCCCAATATTCTTTCTCCCCCAAGCTTCCTGGGATCCCCTCGTACATGCATTAGGGTCCAAGCCTAATCTAGAGTTCCAGGCACCCACTCTCTGCTGAGATGAGACATGGGTGGTCCCCACCTCTGAGGACAGAGGTACTTACTCTCAGCTCCACCCACTTATCCAAAAGCCTCCGATCACTGAACTCGCATAGCAGCCCTGAGGATGTGATGCAGAAGGTGCTGTCTGCCTTCTTTCCTCGGCCACAGGCCACATCGGTAAACAGGTTGTTCCGTAGCTCCCCCAGCAGCCCTGAGCGACCCAGCAAGGGCACAGTGGCATTCACCTGCAGAGACACTACTATTATCCATCAACCCATCCCAGAGCCTCCCCCTGGAAACTAGGCTCTAAGAGAAAGGGGGAGGAAAGAGGCCCAAGTAGAGCAGAATCTCCTGGGGCAAGGTGAGCAGTCTCTGACCCTGGTGGCTCCTTCTAGCTTCAGCACCTCACCTTTGATGTCTTGCTGTCATCAAGATACCAGAATTTAATGTGCCGGTTGCCTGCAGTGACAAAGTAGCTGCAATCTTCAGAGAAGGACACTGCTGTTACTCGACTGGACACCTTGTTGGAGGCCACCACAATGTTTTTCTGGGGATAAAGCCCAAGGACTAATCAAGGCTCTGCCAATTAGGGCTAAGAAGAGGCTCAGAGAATGGAGGAAGGTTAGAAAGAATTTGTACTTGAAATAAATGTTCCTTTCCAGGATTTACTGGTCAGAAAAAAAAATGAGGAGAGAATCTAGAAGAGCTGAAAAGATTCATTTCCTCTGGGTACCTAAAGGCATAAAGCTAGCCCTTTCTGCCAACATGTTGGCTATACAGTTGCTCTTTTCTTTCAAATAATTTCTTTTTTTTTGAGACAGAGTCTCAAGCTATCGGTCTGGGTAGAGTACCGTGGCATCACAGCTCACAGCAACCTCCAACTCCTGGATTCAAGCAATTCTCTTGCCTCAGCCTCCCAAGTAGCTGGGACTATAGGCTCAAATAATTTCTAGAATGAGGCTTGGCGCCTGTGGCTCAAGTGGCTAAGGCACCAGCCACATACACCTAAGGTGGCGGGTTCGAATCCCCAGCCTGGGCCCGCCAAACAACAATGATGTCTGCAACCAAAAAATGGCCGGGCATTGTGGCGGGCGCCTGTGGTCCCAGCTACTTGGGAGGCTGAGGCAAGAGACTTGCTTGAGCCCAGGAGTTGGAGGTTGCTGTGAGCATGATGCCATGGCACTCCACCCAGGGGGATAGCTTGAGGCTCTGTCTCAAAAAAAAAAATTTCTAGAATGAGACAGAGATCAGTAGGATGGAGTGATCAGACCAAACATCCCACCCAGCCCACTCACCTTCCAGGCCCAAACGTTGACAATCATGTCATGCTGGTAGCCCACGGAGACGATGTACTTGGCACTAGGGGAGAAGGCCACGCAAGCCACCCCATATTTATGCTCTTGCAGCTCTGCCACCTGACTATGCTCAGCCACATCCCAAACCCGCACAGCAGGCATGTGACCACTCTGCAAAGAGGCAAAAATAGGAAGTGAGAACAGCAGGCTTACAGCATCCCTTAGCCTTTCAGGGTAGTGGGCCTTGCCACCTCAGTTACTGGATACCATCTCTCTAATGACCCTCTGGCCAAAAGTCAAGAGCAGGGTGCTATACAGGGCAAGGTACAGGGGAAACATGACAAATAGCTGAGGACAACAATGACTATGGGGGAGAAAGTGGACCCAGATGTTATTTGGTATCTTTGGGTGAGGGTCTGTACCTTTATGTTTGTTCATAACTCCTAAGTGACTCAGGCAGCCAGGGTTGAGAACCATGGCCACACATGTCTATCTCTACCCGCCAATGCCTGCACGTAAGAGTTTCTATGTGCCCAGCAGGGGGCCTCCAGGGATAAGGAATACTTTACAGCAGTGGTTCTCCACGTTTGCTTCCCCAGCTAGCAGCAGGAGCATTATCTGAGAACTCATTAGAAATACAAATTTGGGGGCCCCATCCTGAACCTATAGAACCAAAAACTCTGGGGATGGGCCTAGCAGTGTTTGCTTTAATAACCCTTCCAGGTGATTCTGATGCACACTAAAGCTTAAGAACCACTATTTTAAGGTATGGCAAAACCCAGGATTTGCCATTTGTTTAGAAAGCCAAAATGACAGCAGTCCTAATGACCTTCCACTGTAGCTCTCTGCCAAGGCCAGGCCACCCACTTCACAGTGCTGTCACCCCTCTTCCTCACTCACCTCTCCAGTGACCAGGTACTTGCCATCAGGGGAGAAGGCCAGGGCAGTGATGGTTTTCCTACAAGAGATGGGGCAGGCTCAGAGGTGCAGTGGCACCCCTAAGCCTAGGGCCTCAAAAGGTGAGATCAACAGACACTAACAGCACATTTAGCACTTCTCTGGCCCTGGGCCCCAGCCAGGTCCCAGCCCCCAAAGCCACAAAGACGCCAGACAGTGCCCTTTTCACACCCTCTAGGAAAAAAAAAGTTTACCTGGAACTGTTGAGGATGTGGTGCTGTTTGTGTTTCCGGGGGTTGAACAACACGACCACACACCTGGGGAGATAAATGAGACAACAGGCTTAGAACTAAACCTAAGCTTCCCCAGGAGCCCCCAGGCCACTTGGGACTGCTTTTACTTGCAGAGGGCACAAGGTTGCACAAGCTCAAGGGAGCTGCACAGTGTTCTCCTGGCAACCCGTGCTTGCTTCCTTTCCCTGTCCAAGACAGTGAAAGGGCTCCCTGGAAGTTGATCCCTACCAGGTCCATATGCACTGGCCCTATCTCTGATCATACACACAAAAGCAGGAGGAATGCAGGCCTTGTACATACCTTAGGAGGGGTAAAGGAGGGAAGAATAAATGTGATTTGGGCAAAGCAGGCCTCAGGTGTACAGCCTATTTGACAGCTGTGCATTTTCAAGTTCACCAAGCACTTGTGCTCTCAGGCCTCTGACATGTGTGCTCATGTGTATACTTGGCAGGAGCTGGCACCCTCCAGCCTCCACATGTTGGATGAGGAAGGGGGTGGGATGAGGCTATGCAGGGATGCAGAATTGCAGAGAGGCTCAGTAAGACAGGGTGGGGGTGCAGAGGCAGCCTGAGAAGGCCTGGGACAAGTGCCACAGACCTTCTGGGCCCTACCCTCAGAGTCCCTGGGCCCAAGGAACCTGAGAGGAGCCCTCCTGACTGCCAGAAAGAGACAACTGGGCACTGTGCCTGCCTTGCAGAGAGGGCAAGGGACAACCTCTCTAGCCAAGCCACAAAACTGCTACATGGCTTTAGGTCCTGACCGGGTTTCCTTTTTTGTTTTTTGGAGACAGAGTCTCAAGCTGTCCCCCTGAGTAGAGTGCCATGGCATCACAGCTCACAGCAACCTCCAACTCTTAGGCTTAAGTGATTCTCTTGCCTCAGCCTCCCAAGTAGCTAGGTCTACAAGCACCCGCCACAACACCCAGCTATTTTGTTGTTGTAGTTGCCATAGTTGTCATTGTTGTTTTAGCTGGCCTGGGCCAGGTTCGAACCCACCAGCCTCAGTGTATGTGGCTGGCACCCTACCCACTGAGCTATAGGTGCTGCCCTGACTGGCTTTCTAGAAGCAGCTCCAGAGAAGGAAACTGGGTGGAAGGAACTGACAGAAACTGACAGCCAGGCAATACTCACAGGCTCCCTGGCCTATGACCCGCATACCCTGACTCCATGGCCACGGCTGCCTCACCTTTTCATTAACATTAAAAATAGCTAACAGCCCAGGAGTTGGAGGTTGCTGTGAGCTGTGTGACGCTTAGGGCAATAAAGTGAGACTCTGCCTCAAAACAAAAAAACAAAAGAAAAAAAGTAGCTAACAGGGTAGTGCCTGTGGCTCAGTGCGTAAGGCACCAGCCCCATATACCAAGGGTGGTGGGTTTGAACTTGGCCCCGGCCAAACCGCAACAAAAAATAGCCGGGTGTTATGGCGGGCACCCATAGTCCCAGCTACTCGGGAGGCTGAAGCAAGAGAATTGCCTAAGCCTAAGAGCTGGAGGTTCCTGTGAGCTGTGATGTCACAGCATTCTACAGCAACAAAGTGAGACTTTGCCTCTAAAAAAAAAAATACCTAACAAGAGTAAGCCTGGAGGCTAAACCACCAGGAGGGCAGCAGGGTGAGAATGAGTAGACCATCTCGGAGGTAACCTTCTTTAGTGGGAACCCCACAGCTGGCTGGAAACTTGAAAGGGGGTAGGTATAAGTTGCTAGTGAGTGTTTAGCATTACAGGCTCAAAAAAGCAAATTCCCCAAGTAATCTTTGCTGGAGGTACTGTGACCTCGGTGTGATCAAATACACCTAGAACTATCTTCTCTAAACTCTTCAACTTTTCCTCACTGGTTTATTTCACCTCCTTTCCCTGTTTCATTCCAGTTCTTTTCTCCTTTCTCTTTTTATACCAACTTCCAGTCTCCGGCTTTCCCTTCTAGTATGCCAGTCAGGAGGGCTTTAAAAAATATAACAAAACAGGCTCTGCACCCATAGCACAGCGGTTACAGTGCCAGCCACATGCACCAAGACTGGCAGGTTGGAGCCCGGCCCAGGACAGCTAAATAACGATGACAGCTGCAACAAGAAAATAGCTGGGGGTTGTGGCGGGTGCCTGGAATCCCAGCTACTTGGGAGGCTAAGATAAGAGAATCACTTAAGTCCAAGAGTTTGAGGTTGCTGTGAGCTGTGACACCATAGTACTCTACGGAGGGTGACATAGTGAGACACTTGTCTCAAAAAAAAAAAAAGGGCAGCACCTGTGGCTCAAAGGAGTAGGCGCCGGCTCCATATGCCAGAGGTGGCGGGTTCAAACCCAGCCCCAGCCAAAAACTGCAAAAAAAAAAAAAAAAGACAAAACAAGATGGTTGGTGGAAGGAGGACAGTGTGTCTGTGTGTTGAGTGTGTGTGTGTATGTGTGTGTGTAAAAATACAATGTAGACAGAAAGATGACTAGCCAGAGGCAGATGAGGCAAGTTTCTTCTTCTCTATTATTCCCCTGCCCCCAGAGAGCCTAAGAAAGTATCAAGTACTGCGTGGAAGAGCTAAACAAAGGAGGCAATCACACAGAGGTTGGTCCTTATGCTGAAAACTTTACTCCTATTTAAAGTATTCCAAAGTATTTAACTTCGGACACCAGACCAACTCATGCTCACAGCTCCATGCATGGGGACAATAATGCAGATACTACAGAATATCCAAAGAGGACTCTTTTTTTTTTTTTTTTTTGAGACAGAATCTCAAGTTGTTGTCCTGGGTAGAGTGCCATGGAGTCATAGCTCACAGTAACCTCCAACTTGGGCTAAAGAGACCCTCTTGCCTCAGTTTTTCTATTTTTAGTAGAGACAGGGTCTCGCTTTTGCTCAGATCCTGGTCTCAGCTGGTCTCGAACATGAAGCTCAAGCAATCCACCCGCCTTGGCCTTCCAGAGTGCTAGGATTACAGGTAGACTTATTCTTTTTTTTTTTTGAGACAGAGCCTCAAGCTGTCGTCCTGGGTAGAGTGCCATGGCTTTACTGCTCATAGCAACCTCCAACTCCTGGGCTCAAGCGAGTCTCCTGTCTCAGCCTCCCAAGTAGGTGGGACCACAGGCGCCTGGCTATTTTTTGGTTGCAGCCATTATTGTTGTTTGGCGGGTCCGACTGGATTCGAACCCACCACTTCAGGTGTATGTGGCTGGCGCCTTAGCCGCTTGAGCCACAGGCGCCGAGCCAGGTGGACTTATTCTTAAAAACACTTAGGAGCCTCTTCAGTCTTCTAAACTTCGAGCAGCTACTTAGTCAGTTTACAAAGGGGAAGGAGGGCACAGTTTGCATCAGTCTTTGGCCCTCCACTTCCATGTTCCCTGACCCTACTGGGGAGGATGAGCCCTCACATCAGTACATGCTGAAATCCTCCACATGACAAGGCCTAGGCTGATCCAACCAGCTGAGTCCCAGAACCCAAGGGTGCTGGAGATTGCCCACTCTCACAGGGAGAAAGTAAGACCTTAGTCCCTCTAGACCTCAGCTCGGGGAAGTCACTTTGTAGAACACCAGTGCCAGGTGCTGGGCCCACGGAAGTAGTAAGTCCTCAACATTCCCCTTCTCTGCATGGGTCCAGGTCTGCTGCCACCACAAAGAGCCCAGCAATCCCACAGAATCTACCTCCTGCCACTCTCTACCCTCCAGAAGGCCCAGTCAAATGAACCCTGCGATGAGCTATGAATGGTGCAGCATACATAGGAAGCAGGATGTAGAAGGTTCAACCAGAGACTCCATGTCTTTGAATTTTTTTTTTATTTGACCAGGGCTGGGTTTGAACCTGCCACTTCCAGTATATGGGGCCAACGCTCTACTCCTTTGAGCCACAGGCACCGCCCTGTCTTTGAATTTTTTTTCATACCAGGTAAAATCAGAGGGTGACTCAAAGGGACACACTGAAGATCCTCTAAGCCTTGCTGAAAAGTTACCCTGTAGCCCAATTTATCATTATCACCCACATTCCCCAGTGTCCCAATCACCTTTCACTGCAATTGCTTATCCTTTTCCAGAGCATACCTCAACTTGCAATATTCTATATAATTTACTTTTACGGGGCCAGGCACAGTGGCTGTCAACTGTAATCCTAGTACTCTGAGAGGCTAAGACAGGAGGATCCCTTGAGCTCAGGAGTTTGAAACCAGCCTGAGCAAGAGTGAGACACCAGGACAGCACCTGTGGCTCAAGGAGTAGGGCGCTGGCCCCATATGCCGGAAGTGGCAGGTTCAAACCCAGCCCTAGCCAAAAAAAAAAAAAAAGAGTGAGGCACCATCTTTACTGAAAATAGAAAAATTAGCCAGGCGTTGTGGTGCATACCTGTAGTCGCAGCTACTCGGGACAGTGAGGCAGGAGGAGGAGTGTTGAGCTAAGGAGTTTGAGGTTGCTGTGTGCTAGACGGACTCCAGGCCCTTTAGCCTGGGAAGCACTCTAGCCTGAGGCAACAGAGTGAGACTCTGTCCCCCCAAAAAGCCCTCTTCAAAAAAACCCCAGAAAAGACTGGGTACTAATAACCCAGTGAATTACAGGGCCCTCTGGGATAGAGCTATCAGTATGCTTCTCTTTGACCAGAGGACTCCAACCAAACACATTCCTTTCCTGAATAAAGGGCAAAGACTTATGAGCTACAAGCCTTATAAACCAGGTCAACATGGTGGTGTCTGCACCCCCTTCTCATTCATTCTGGTCTAGCCACTGTGGCTGCTGGTTAGCTCCTCAAATGAGTGAATTGATTTCTGCTTTCCTTAGGACCTTGTACTTGATGTTTACTCCATCTGGAACTTTTTTTTTTTTTTTTTTTGTTTTTGGCCAGGGGTTGGATTTGAACCCACCACCTCTGGCATATGGGGCTGGTGCCCTACTTCTTTGAGCCAGAGGCTCCACCCCAATCTGGAACATTTTTGATGCTAAATTTTCACTTGTTGATTCCTGCTTGTCATTCAGATATCACCTCAACCATTACCTCTCCCTGAGCCTTGATCACTCAATCTTAAAGTAGCCTTACCTCCAGTACCCAGTTATTCACTG